GGGGGAGCCTAAGCGAGAGTTTTCATAAAGTTTTTAGTGTAAATTGGCTTACTGTATTTATAAAGAGTTTTTTTAGTTAGGAGTTTGAGTTTTCAAATTTTTTAAAAATTCAACATTGCCTTTTTAAATAGGACATATTTGATAAAGAAAATCTCATACGACAAGTCCATTAGCTGCGGTCAAGCAAGAGACATATTTCTACGTTAGGGTACCTTTATACCCTTACTAAGACTTGTTGCTAGTGCGACGTTGGCTGAAAACTTAGGTTGAACTTTTTTTTTTGTAGGATAATTACGATTTTGAGGAGTGTTCTTTACTAACTTTGTAAAACCACGAGATTAAGACCTAAAAACATTCTGAGATGAAGGAGAGAGTGTTCTAAGTGAAACCGCTCCGAGCCTGTATGCATTTAGATTGAAACATTTTTGTTCCCTGCAAACTTCGCTTCCTGGCACATATTTTTATTTTTCTTAGTGAGGTCTTATGGACTACTTCATATTGCTAACGTTATCTTTTTAAGTCTCCTCTGCGTAGGTAGGTGCATCTGTTAAACCGAGATTAAAATTGAAGGTATTTTAAAAATTTGCAGACTTGGGGTCTGTGTTTTAGGACTTTTTGTAGCTTTTGAAAAACTACATATGTAAAATTAAACAAGTAGAACATCTGAGTATGTCTGAATTATTTGGTTATTTACTAATTTTGATTGTTATCATTCAATCAACAAGATTTACAATTTCTTTCTCCTGTATTAGGCAACCAATTTTTGCTTAGGACAGTTCACAGTAGTTGATTTGAATTACAACTTGTAGTTATTCTATTCTTATTCGCTAAGTTAATATCTTTGTTGAGGAAGTTTTGACAGTCACTATTGTATTCTTACTATCAAGCTGGAGTCGTCATTTTGTTGTTCTTATAACTTCTGGACAATTATTCAAAGAAACTAGTAGCAGAGTTACTTGGTGTTAATGGATGTTAACTGTACTGCAGAAGAAGCGTTCGTAGGACGAAAAAAAAGCCGGCGAAGACTACAGTCATTTCCGCGCGGCAGCTGTCGAAAAAGAAAGCCAGAAAATTGCTAAAAGCTCACCGTAGAAGTGAAAGGAAAAAAGCAAAAGAAGAGTCTGCTATGGACGTTTCCTAATCTTATTAGAGAAGCGCATTATAGAAGTTATCTTACCTTCTTCTTTGATCTCTTTTGGTGTAGACACCTCTCCTGGTTGTTACTGTTCCTACTGTGTTGCCGTGGAAATTTATTACAAATTATTTGAAGATACATTAAATGTTGCTAAAAATTAACTAATGTGTGATCAGAAGATACTTGTTATTTGCACTTTGGCAATTCTAAAAAATTATTGGTGGCATGAAAAGGTTGTTTAAATTGAAAATATCCATCTGCATAAACGTTTATCGTTGAATTATTTTTTGTCAGATAGTATTTTTTTGCAGTCGAGATCTTCAATTTTTTTGGAGAATAGATATATCTGTCTTTTGATGTTTCACAAAACACGGAATGCACAAAAAGTTCCGAGAAGACGACCGACGACTCCAAATCAAGCTACTGTAGTCAAATTCCATTCTGGAGGCGTTGTAATGAATGTGAGGTGGTTTCAGTATGAACGATTTGAACGGGTAAATTCTTTTGGAGGCACAGCAGGGTTGCATAAAAAGGAAGCAGGAGTGAAAAATTATTTGCATCGTTTAAAAAAATTGCGAAGTAATCTCTAGTCAAACACCCATTTCTGCCTAGTTTGCTCATTTTTAGGGTATCCTAACGGATATAAGCTAACACCAGGCCGAATGCTCTGGAAAGAAAAAAAGCCGTTCAGAGGTGCGGTGGGCATCCGTTAGCACAATAAAAACAACTATCAGCCAGAAAAGTGGCGATAGGTCGTCAAAGGGTTACCATATTTAAAAAATTAATTTGTGTCAGTGAGCGCTGGCTGGTTCTGGGATGAACACTTTAGGTAAGCGAAAAAAACTGAGAGTTGCAGTAGGTTCACTTGAAAAACATAAACTAGTTTACAAAACAACGCTTGACCCGAAAAAAAAGTCAGTAGCTTTTAAACGGACTAGCAAATTCAGCAGTCTGTTTTTAGAGTACCCTTATAATTATAAGGTCCTTACGGGACAAACTTTCTAGATATCTAGGAACTGTTATGAAATCATATCAAGACCCATCTTTGGGAAGTTGGGATCGCATTTCTTGTTTTCAGGGTCGTTACCGACAAGCTGAAACTAAAGCGTCCTAATCTATACGACACTTTTTGTCGCATGTTATTACATATGCTAAAATTAGAAAACATCAATTTTTTCTTTTGTTTTTTCTGTCAAAGCTTGTATTTTTACTGATTCCTAGCAAAGCTCATAGAAGTTGCTGCGTTTTTTTTGGTTCCTCACGACTGTGTCTTAAGCTCCATGAAGAGCTTTTTCACTATATCTGCTCAAAGTAAAAGCTGTCTACAAAATGGCATGAGTTTTTTAGAAGTTTGGTAAAATCGGCTTTTTTAAAAGAGTGTAAAAAAAAAAAATCTTGTTTGCTTTATACATGAAATTTTTTGTCTTGTGACTGATAAAACTGTAGCACAGAAATTTGCATGCTTTTACTGCATTTTTTAACATTTATTACTGCGGTGGTACTGTTCTCCACTGGTCTGCAAACTTTTTTCCGCCTTTTTTTTACCAACAGAAATGGAAATACGAGGTTTTAACACAGTACTATAATTCAATGCAATTTTAGAAAGCTACCGATTGTGGGTTTTTATCTCTTGCTAATCTACAAATTTATTTTCGGCTCTCTAATTTGGTAAGATAATAATTCGGCGAAAAAGTATTAAGCACACAAAATGAGATTAAGAACAATTTTAAAATACTGTTGATAACCAACTATATTGCGCGAAGTTGAAGTAGATGCGGATGTTTCTTGAATTAACACCCCAACAAAAAGTTACCAAATTTACTGTAATTTGAACCTCGGAAACATTCTAGTTTTATTTTTTTAAGAAAATTTGAATAGATATTGGTAGAAAAGTTGAGCCGAATAAGATAAATTTGAAAAAAAAAACGAATAAGGATAAGAAAAAAACAATTGAAATGAATTTAAATGTTATAGACTTTAGAAAATAAAGAAGAAAAGCTCAAAGAGTAGGTACAACGTGTGTTCAAAATATCAAAATTTGCGCAAACCCTAAAATGTTGAGAGACAGCATATTTCACTTTGAATGGAAGAAGCAAAGCTCAAAGTGTTATTAGTAATGATTACGTTTCATCTGGTAGTAATATGGTTCTTCAA